TAAAACTGCCATCCATGACGTCCCTCGTTTGGCTGAGTATGTTGCAACCAGACTCAGGAAAAGCATATACTGAACCCTTGAAATTCTAAGTACCACAAACTCCCCAGAAAGAACACGCAAGGTCTTAAAATATTTTCCCTTCACTGCCCTGTTCCTTTCCATAAGCAAGGCCCTAAGAGCAGGGAAAAAAGAACTCATTGATAGGTGTCAGGAGCAGACCCATGGCTGGGAGCTTAAGAAAGGCTTCATTTGCTACAGTACAGTATAGTGTTCTTTCACAAGGAGGACCTTTAATGTACTATTTTAAATGTAGAAGACCTCACCAGAAAAACAAACACCAGCACAGTATCCAGGGCGTGAACTGCCCCGTGGAAACGAAAACATTACAGATGTAGTCGTGTACACCATGACCAGTAGGACAGCCGAGGAAAGCCACACCTCTCGCTTTTCTCTGCAGCAAGTTAGAGAAAGAGAAATCAGATTTCTCCTTTATACCAGAAGTAGGTATCTCCTTAACTCCATACAACATCAGCTCAGAAGTCTAAAGAGGCCATTGTGATGATTCATAAAATGTCACCCTTTGAAATCAAACGTTTGGTGGCTTTTTTCTCCAGGTTTACAGTTTGAGGATATGTCTTTCAAGTTTAGTGTAGTTATTAAATTTCCAACAATCGTGTCAGGCAGTGGTGGCTCACACCTTTAATCCCAGCACTCAGGAGGCAGAGGTAGACAAATCTCTGAGTTCAAGGTCAGCCTGGTCTGGGACAGCCAGGACTCCAGAGAGAAACCCTGTGAGAAACTAAATAAATATGTGCATACATATGTAAATACATAAAATAATCCCAACAATCCTGAAGTCTTCTATTTCATGTGTCAGAGGAAGCTGGTCACCTAAGGTAAAGTTTTCTTAAAATATATCCCCAGAATTCTCAAGTATCTTTTAAATGGAGATGAGGAGGGCCATGTCTCGGTGATGGGTCTTCACAATCACAATCCCACTCACATTACCAATTTCCAATCCCTGCCCCCCACAACTCACAATGGTTCCAGACTCTTCCAACATTTATGTCAATGGCTAATGTCTTGCCCAAGAACTGAGCTCCCTTTCACTACTACAGAATAGAAAGCCAGGGCTGGGGATATGCCTCTATAGCAGAACACTTGCCCAGCATGTACAAGGTCATGAGTCTGATCCCCAGGACCAGAAAATAAACACAGCAAACACATCAGGAGACTGTACCTGAATAGCAAACTTGCAACTAGCCTCTATTCACTGTGTGCCAATTCCTATGCTGGAGCTGAAATGAAGGCAGCTTCCCTTACAGGTAAGTGTCACTCCTGAGGGAAGCCCTCAGTCCCCAAGAGTTTGACTACATAATATAATGTAAGAAGACCTTGGGACTGAAGAGATGGTTCACTGGTTAAGAGCACTTGCTGCTCATCCAGCGGACCAGAGTTCGGTTCCCAGCAAGTGTTTTACAACCATCTGTGAGGGTGAATGGGATCTGAGCCCCTTGTCTCTTCAAGGTACCTGCACTCACATGAATATACTCACATGTAACAAAGACTGTAGAGGTACAGCCCCTTATATCCTTTTCCCAGAGTTCCAGAAGAGACGCTACCAGCGGCAAAGAATTAATCTGAGGGATGTCAAATGAATCTAAGTACATTGAGCTCTTTAGTCCATTCCTTTTATTCTTCTAAACCAATTCTATCTACACAGCTTCATTTCTGTTCTCATACTTAGCTCCTCTCTGTCCCTTCTATTTTCTCTCAAAGTTCTTTCCATTTCATCCGTCCATCTTCTTTCAAGTTCCCAGTTTATATACACATACAATCAGTTATTCTCTGGCTGTGCCGCTTTCTGGTAGGGCAGGCAAGTGTACTCAGTAGCTAGGTAGCCTGTGTCACAGCTTGATACACGTGGTATGGTGGTATGTAAAAGCCCTTTTGTTCTGAGTTAACTGTTAAAGGGGGAGTCTTTAGAACTAGAGATACCACTAGGGCTATGGGAGAAAGGAGGATTTAAGCTTAATAAAGCTTTGTACCTAACATCTACCTGGCCTTGGTGGTTGTATCAGTAAGACATTTACCCTATCTCAGGAAACTAGCAGGCAGTCTGAATGCTTATCTATCTGCAGTCTGTCCTTCGATGTTTATCTCAGATAAAATACTTTTGTCTGGAGATGGCCCTGGCCGGATGCTTGCTAATGAAGATAATTACATATAGGCAGACTTCTCAGTCTAATGCTAAAAAGGGGAAACAAAAGCCTGGAGATGTCATACAAATACCCCAATTGTATAGGGGAAATTGTGCCAATGAACGATCAACCATACTGTTAGAAGTTCTTGGGGAAAGAATCAAATGGGAAAGCTACAATAGCACACAAGAAATTCACTGCAGGAAACAGCTAACATATTCAAAAGCCAATATCACCAATATTCCTTGAGGTTTGACTTTATTATCTGGAAGAGCCCTGTTATTCCAGGTATTAGCTTTTGCCACTGTCAGCTAAAATCCTACTTCATATTTCTGCGACTTGCAGCACACATGCAGACACACACATAATTAAAAATAATATGAATAGGAGCTGGAGAGATGGCTCAGCAGTTAAGAGCACTGGCTGCTCTTCCAGAGGTCCTGAGCTCAATTCCCAGCAAGCCCATGCTGGCTCACAATCATCTGTAATGGGATCTGATGCACTCTTCTGACATCAAGCCATACATGCAGAAAGAGCATTCATACACATAAAATAAACCTTTTAAAAAATAGTATGAATAAGTCTTTCTTTATATAAAAACGTAATCTCCTAATATCTAAAGGCCCATTACCTTCAAAGCAGCTACCCATACAACAATGCTGTCATGGCGGTTCTTTGCCAAAAGCTTGCTAAGTAAGCCTCTATCTAGCATTCTGAATATCCTCGAGTGTGACAAACCTTTCTTCTTTTGAGGCTGTAGTTTATTCTGCTAAGGATCTAGTCATTCACAATCAAATCTTGTGAGCTGGGCAGTACAAGGACAGTGGATACCGGATACTGCATATTTTCATTAATATCCAAGAGACTAACCACAGAATACTACCACATTCTACGCGATTCATGAACTGGTTCCAAAGTGACTATAGAAACACGAAAGCAGTATGGCTCAAAGCAGCATGTTTCAACTAATATCTGCTATTTATTGAATAGTTTGCAAAGCACAGTGTAACAGAGCACATACATCATCTCAACTGTTTCTCATGAAACCCTCATGAGGTAGGTGTTACAAAGTTTCAGAAGAACACACCACTTGCCCACTCCCCACTGCTAGGGAGAAGCCAAACCATAATTTGCTCTTCCTCTGTCTCCCATCAAAAAATGACTTTTACAGGGATAAAATGCATTCCCAAGCATGAGCGCCATGTTGACTCCCATACGGGATCGGTGCCACCCCCTTCTGAAAACAGGTGTCTCTAAGTAATCCTTGCAGCTGTTGTCCACTGAAATATCTTCAGAAAGGCACTGTCAGAGAAGCTGCCCAACAAGCCCTCTGAAACAAGACTCTGTCTTCCCGCAAACTAGACTTCCAGGGCTTTATCTTACAGCTATACTCTGGGTAGATGTGGACAGCAGGTTCGTGGCTATCACCACACCAGCAAAAGAACAACCTAAACATTCATCAGGTGCACATTCAATCATGAAATATCCATCCAATAGAATCTTACACAGCGAACAGAGGGTCAAGCTTCCTTGTTCTTAACACACTGACATGGAATATGTTCCATTAAGAAGACAAAAGCAAGTCAGGCACGATGGAGCACAGCTTTAATCCCAGTGCTGAGGAGGCAGAGGCAGGTGGAGCTCTGTGAGTTCGAGGCCAGCCTGGTCTACATAGAGAGTTCCAGGCCAGCCGGGGCTACATAGTGAGATCCTGTCTCAAAAAAGCAAACAAATGAAATAAAAGAAAAGGAAAGAGAAAAGAACTTTAAAAAGAGCAGCTGGGCATGGTGGTACACACCTATAATCCCTGCACCTGGGAAGCAGAGGCAGGAGGATCAGAAGTTCGAAGTCATCTTGACTATAAAGCATGGGCTTAACACTCTGTGTCAAACAAAAGTAAAAGGCAAGGAAGACAAAAGGCAGAGTACTGTGTAAACAAAACCAAAACACAAGTGTGTTTAGACACTTTCTCAAAGGTACACAAGAAACCGGGGATCGCCTGAAGAACTATACCTGGGAATAAGACAGAAACTACAAAGAACCTTCGTGTGAAGTCACTTCATATCACCTCCTGTGGAACAGATACCTTTTAGAATATTTTTACTTAAAAAAATGGACTAGGCCGGACACTGTGGTGCACACCTGTAGTCCCAGCACCTGAGACTGAGGCAGGAGGATTGCTTGAGCCCCGAAGTTCAAGGCTACCCTGAGCAACACAGGGAGGACTGTCCCAGCACCCAGAGGCTGAGGCAGGAGGATTGCTTAAGCCCAGGAGTTCAAGGCCACCCTGGGTAACACAGGGAGACTGTCTTTATTAAAAAAAAAAAAAAAAAAAAAAAAAAAGATGATGATGATGCTTGATGATCCATTCTCATTGGGGCGGGGGGTGCTTCAACTGTGGAAAAAAGCAGAATTTTCCCCCATGGTCTCATTTTATCACACATTCGGACCACATTTCTCTTAGGGAGAGTAGCTATAAAGCTATATAGTTAGTACATACTTTAATGTTTATCATTCTTTTATCAACAGCTTCTCACTTATCCACCTATCACATAATGTCATGTGCACGCATAAAGAATGGTTCTTTTGATGGCAGAGTCAGAGCAAATTTATCATTAAAGAAGAACACTCGAGGCTAAACAGACTGAACTCTACTCAGACAACAATTATTTTGCATGTTTAAAATTTCCCAGTTCTTATAGAATTCAGTTTCTTGGTTAATGACAAGCAAATGATTTATTGGTTAAATTATCAATCATGGAGCTCCTTGATAACAAAATAAATGGATAATTCAGAAACTGGCTTGAAGGTACTGATTTTAATTACTTTGACAACAAATTTTAGTAACAAACGTCTAACAAGCTCCTGTTTGACTGCTAGAGAGTGAAATCAGCTATCCAAACTCATTCGTTTTTCTCTTGACAGTGGGTGGTAGAACTCCCAGAGGACAGGTGAACGAGCACTAAGAAAGAATGTGTTTGCTAACCTAGCACCATAATTCCAGTCTTAGGACTCGGATGCAGCTGGACGGAAGTTACAGGAGGAAGAGAAGCTGCTGAAAACGCAAGGAAACCCGACTTCTGGCCCCATGTTGGCAGGGTCTGAGGCTGAAGAGGAACACAGCTTTGGGATGCGGCTATGAAGGAGGCAGGTCCCTCCAGAGGGAGCTGGTGGGTCCGGAGTACAGTGCCTGGCAGCGTCAGGAACTAGGCGGTTTCTTCTTGGCTTCCAGGTCCTTTTTAATCTCTTCAAGTTTTTTTGACATGTTTGGCATCTTTAAAAGAAAAAGGCAGCATTATAATTTAGCATCTACCTAACCAATATTCTTTCATGTTTCTTCTTTTAATACTGCCTTTGCAAGGTTTTGACTTCCTCTGGAGGAGACCTGCTCAACAGTGGTATTTCTTTGCTTCAGCCCTGCATACAAAAGCTATCAGTGTTAAGTTTATGTGCCCTCTCTGAAAGCCAGACCCAACTCAGTCTTCAACCCAGTGCCAACTAAAAGATACATATCTATTTGCAACAAATGACAAGGCAATAAAGTCCCTGGCTAGAAAACTAGATTCTAGTGACGGGACGCCTTTTGCCACACTAAAACCTTTACTACACAAGAAAGTATAATCCCTTGTCTTTCTAAAACACCTTTCGGGTTCCTCATCCGGTTGTGACATCCTGTTTTCCACCCCTCATCCCTACAGTAAGGTTGATGTAACTCCCCACTCCACCAAACTGTCTTCCTTACATGAACCACACTCTATAAATCCACATCCCAATTCTCTTGTGATGATATGGGGACATCCATCTATCTGTGAGTTCAATTATTTTTTCAAACAACAGAAAAACTTTCTTTCTTTCTTTCTTTATTTATTTAGAAAAACTTTCTATAAAGTTAAGGACTCACACTTATGGACCTGGTTTATGCTAGTAGGCAAACTTCACCTTGAGAGAGAAAAATAACTATGAAACAGTTACAGAGATCCAAGAAAGATGTGAGTATGATACTTACGTCATAGTTCTGGGCCAGATACATTCCAACCACGTTGCCCAAAGTAAATCCAAGCTGAAACAACAGAACAGGAGAGTTATACTGCAGACAAAATCCATGATGAGCCTGCGACCACACCAAACACACGGGCTACATCTTCCCAAGATGCATGGCAGGTGAATGCTCAGGTGCTCAGTGTAGGATTGCATACAACATAGGAGTCACATCTCTCTCCTATGAAGCAATCATATACACACACACACACACACACACACACACACACACACACGCACGCACGCACGCACGCACGCATGCACGCACGCACGCACCGACATTAGAAAGCCCAGGACAGCATAAACGGCGGCTATGAGTAAGTTTCCCTTATCTCCTACAAGCCCCCATACAGTCCTGAATGGAGATCCCGAAACCCAGGCAAGGTTCCGATTTTGTCACTGGACGCTGCCTGGTTTCCCCTTTTGTTAACTTGTTGCAGGTGCTGTTACTCCTGTCTACAGCTGATAAAAAGTACTCAGTTACAAACACCCACTGGAGCGGGACATGGCGGCTCACACTTGCAATCCCAGCATTCAGGAGACAGAGGCAGGAGGCTCCTCGACAATGAGAGACCATTCTGGTCTACACAGACAGTCCCAGCTACAGAGCAGGAGTTCCATCCCACACCTACACGGCAAGACTTGGTCTCAAAACAACAAAGAAACAAACAACAGCAACAAAAATCATTTGAACCAAAGAAGTTTAGAAAATAAAGGAAGTCTCAGAGTTCAGTCTCCGTGTTTCAAAAGAACGATCGTGGTCTGCCCAGGGTTATTCACAAAAGCAGCACAGGACAACTTGAGTTACTCAGAAACTCAGCTCCACAAGGGCAGAAAGAACAGGAAACTCTGACACATCCGTGAGCCCAGCACAATGCCAAGGGCGGGGACTAAAGGGCAGGACATAGAGGTCTGTGGGGAACATGGCTCCCCCCCAACGACAGAAGGGACAAGAACAGCTTTTAGAGAACTGCAACTGTTTACCCCACCGGGTGAGATTTTCCTGAAAATCTAGAGTACTCCCGATACACACAGGGATTAAGTCTCTCAGCTTTGCGTTTTAATGAAGATAGTTCTGTTTTCCTCCAGGCATCTTTTTACTTCAGAGCTCACAACTTCAGGCTAATTTCTGACTTAATAAATTCAAATTGGCGTCTACCTTTCCCCCCCATTATTTTGTCGAGACAGTGTTGCTTCTGCTCAGTCTCAGTAGAGAAGTTAAAACAGAAATCAAAGAACAGCACTTACTGTATCATCAATCACACATGAGGTGTCCAGACGCAGAGAAGGTAAGGATACAGATGGGGTGATGGAGAGACGGCTCAGTAGTTAAGAGCATGTACTACCACTCTTGTGGAGAACCAGAGTTCAGTTCTCATCACTCATGTTAGTCAGCTCACAACTGAGTCCAGCTCCAGGGAACCAACACCGTAATCGCCTTCCGTGGGCACCCGCACTCCAGGGTACTACTGTCACCTCCAACTAGAACAGTGAGAATAAACCCTAAAGGGGAAAGCACAACTGGTCTTTCCTATCCTTAGCCTTTAAATTCCAAGAGCAATTTTAAATTGGTTTGTTGCTAGCAAGAAACACAAACAAGGCTATCTAGTTTCTCATCGATGACCGTTTTCTGATGCTTTTAAAAAATCCTTACCAAGTGGCACCAAGAAGCAGATTTCCTTTTTTCCCCACTACACTAGATTCAAACCACAAGTTCTTGAAATCCAGAAAGATAATTACATTTGAGACAAAGTTTAAAGGAAGAGGGGAAAAAAAAGTCCCTTGAGGATACTAATCCTAATATCTCCCAGAAGGAAAAATGGGACTGAGAAAACGTCAAGGAACAACAGCACCAGAACCCTGGTTGTCTGCCAGCATCTGTGTGCCTTCAGGTGAGCCTTGCTGAACTGGGCTTCCCGTCTCTTAAAATAGCCTACCACCGAAATGTCCCAGCTCAGACTTAAAATTCCTGCTTCTTACTATGCATGTCTCAAAATAAACACAGGCTATCTAGTGTGGTTCTATCTTAGCAACGTCACCAAGCACTGGAGCACAAGAGAAGGGACAGTTATTTTAAAATACAGAACAAAACAAAACCCATAGGCCTCTATAAACGGCACCCTCTTCCAGTTCCAAAATACCATCAGATCTAACAATAAGACATTTTGAATATGATACACAACCCAATCTGAGAAGTGTCACTTCTCAGAGAAATGATGGAGGACACCCGGGAGGTCAGGAAAATATGCATGCTGTTCAGGAGATGTCAATAGGCAGGAAAAGTAAAATCTACACTTGACCTCTTGCCTCTACATCCACATGCACAGGCAAGTAGACCTGCATATATTCATGTGCACATACACACATACACCACACACACAAAATAAATAAAAATTTTAAAATGTCTGCTTTTCAAATAATACCAAAGAGAAAGGACAAACCACAGAAGAGAATTATTTGCAAATCATATATCTGTTAGTATTTGTATCCAGAATAAAGATCTTTCACATTTAAATGACAAAGAAACAATTCAATTTAAAAAATGGGCAAAAGCCTTGAGTGGATTTCTCCAAAGACACAGTCAACAAGCCCATGAGACGTCTGACATCAGTTAGTTGTTGAAGAACTGCAAATCAAAACCACAAAGAACCATGGCACACCCACTAAGATGACTTTATTGAAAAAAACAAAACAAAAACAAAACCCAGAAGACACCCAGCCCCCACCTCCCCCACCCCCCACCCCGGCACGGAATGGCAGGCGCACTACAATGAACAAGCACGTGATGGAGAGATGGGAAAGCTGGAGGACTCGGTGGGGAGACGGGAGAGAGAGAAGTGGAGCAGTGCATGTGCCGTGGAGAGGTGGAACTAGAGCAGGCAGATGTGAGCAGCCTGTGCAGCCGCCTGAGGCCATGATGTGCCGGGCTGCCACTGAGGGCCATGGCTGGGTCTGTGGCCCTACTGCACATGATGTCCATGTCCATGGACAGTGCTGTCACCAAGGGTCATTAGGATGTCCCTGGTCTGGGCTGCCACCTGAGGCCATGTTGACGTCTGGGATGGGGGGGAAGACATGCTCTCACCCAGGGCCAAACTGCCCTGCGTGGCCTGTGCTGCCACCAGAGGCCATGGTGCTCTCTGGGCCTGGGCTGCCACCATCACCTCCCACCCCCACACCAGGGCCATGTCTGGGTCCATGGTCCTACTGCAGCCATGGTCTGTGTTGATGTCTGTGGCCAGTGTTAACACCAAAGGTCATGCAGATGTCTGGTCTGGGCTGCCACCTGAGGCCATGCTGATCTGAGTGGCCTGCACTGCCACCCGAGTCCATGGTGATGTCCAGGCCCTGCTTCGACCAGGGGCCATGTCTGGGTCCTTGGTCCTTGATCCTACTGCAGCTGGTCTGAGGCCTATGTTACCACCAAAGGCCATTTGGATGACTATGGTCTGGGCTGCTGCCTGAAGCCATGCTGATTTCCTGGCACAGTGCTGAGCTGGCCTGGGCCTTCAGCAGCCATGGAGAGCTAGCCCTACCCCTCACAGGCCACCACATGGGAGAGCTAGCCTCAGCAACAGCGTAGGCAGTGGCGTGAGTGTGGGGGAGCTGGCTCATCCCTCACAGGGGAGTGGGGGACATTGGGAGAGGGAAGGTTCGGTGGAGACCCAGGCTGATCAGCTCAGCTGACCAAACCCAGATCCAGGGTTGAGTTGGCCCACCCCAACATCTACCCTATCTATGAGCTGCTAGAGCACATGAAGGGGCAGGTCCTACAGAACCACACCACAGGATCTCCATGACTGAGACACCAACAGGATATCTGAGAGGACACAGTGACAGAAAATAAACCAGTGACTGTCTGGGCTGGAGGGGGGATGAGAAATGAACCCTAACATTACACAGTTTCTTTTTTATATTAAACAGAGTGATGGCTACACAATCTCGGAGCACACTAAAACCCCTGGATTACAGACATTAGCTGGGTGAATTTTTGTCTCAATGCCAGAGAGAGAGAGCGAACACTAAAATTTGGTAAAATAATGTCAACTACCTGGGATGAAATGGAAGAAACCAAAGACAACTTCATGGCTTCCAAACAGGACTTTGTTAGAAAGAATGAAATTCCAGAGAACAAAAGAAAACCAGGCAAATAAATGGCACAGTCCGCACATAAGAAATCTAAAAGTATTCTGAATTTTAAACACATGAACAGACCAGTCAGCAATACTCTATCCATTAGCATTAAGAAAGTACTGTTAAAAGCAACCAAGATCACTTAGAACGATGCATCTGGCCGTTTGCTCAAGCCTGTCCCCTTCAGAAAGTTGTAGTGTCTGGAAATCAACAAATAAAACTACAAGCTTTACCTGGGAATGGCTCCTGGCAAGAACCCAAAGCGGCTGACAAGTTCAAACTATGACTCATCCAATTACATAGTTTCAAAAATAGCATGCCCAAGCCCAAGTTACTGACAAAGGTTTATGAATCTAAAAAGAAGGGTGGAGAGATGGGTCAGCGGCTCAGAGCACGGACTCTTCCTGCAGGGGATGAGAGTTCAGTTCTTAACACCCACATCAGGCAGCTCATAACCGCTGTAACTCACCAGAGAACCTAACGCCTCTGCCCTCAAGGGGTGGCTGTGTGTGTGTGTGTGTGTGTGTGTGTGTGTGTGTGTGTGTACAAAACACACACTTAAAATAATAAAAACAAATCTTAAAAAAAATATTAAGCAAATATAGCTACATGCTAGCATTGAAAAGGAAGCCTAAAAATATTTGGTCTATGGTGAGAACATCTACAACTCAAAACTATGCATTAACTAACTAGAATTAATAAAAAGCTAAGTTGATAACAGTATTTTAAGTGTTATTTATTTTTATCTGCATGGGTGTTTTGCCTACATTTATAACGTATACCACTTTTGTGCAGTCCCACAGAGGCCAAAAGAGGACATCAGATTCCCCAGAATTAGAGTTACAGATGTTGTGAACAACTATGTGTGTGCGCCAAATCAAACCCACGTCCTTTGGTAGAGCAGCCAAGGCTCTTAACAGCTGAAGTATCACTCCAGCCCTGGTAACAGTACTCTTCAATTTTAGACTCAAAAGAAGATATCAGAAGGCCTTCCAAGGAGGCATGTACATACAGTACCATTTCTGTGTCTCAGTTTTTAAACTTGGTGTGAAGACTATCATAAGATGTTTAACGGCTGCTTCAAGTAGTAAAAATATCCATATTCTATGCATTAAAACAAAACCCTCCTAGGGATTAGAAACTAAAACCCTTCTATACTTCCTAGAAAAGCATTCTTTAAGAGGTAAGCTATGGCTGGATGCAGTGGCACATGCCTTTAGTTCCAGCACTCAGGAGGCAGAGGCAGGCAGATCTCTGTGAGTTCAAGGCCGGTCTGGTCTACAAAGTGAGTTCTAGGGCAGCCAGGGCTACAGAGAGAGAGAACCTGTCTTGGAAAACCAAAAAGAGGTAAGCTATGTTTTATATTCAGTAATACTGCTTAGAGGATAAATGGAGAAAGAAAAACAAAATAAGAAAAATCATTAACTCCTTAACTGCCAATAATCAATAGAGGCACATGAAAATCCTTCTGGGAAGGATGTACTGGTTTCCCTGCTCTCAAAGAAGCTGGTACAAATATTTAACTATCATATAACCAAAAGTAGTAACGAAGTGAAAAAGGAAGACCTAACATTAATGAGGGATCCATTCCAGGGCACCCCACACACTAACATCTGTAGTTGTTTGAGCTGGTTATGCAACTGCACAGAAACCCACCCACAGTCCCCAGCTCATCCTAACCCTCTACATCACTCACAATGCCTACTGCAATGTAAGGCCACAGGGACAGTCCATCCCACTATCCTGGTTAGGAATGTCAAGGAAAAACTGTACACATGCAATACATACACAATTATTTCCTACTATTTCCCATCCATGGATAGTTAAATATGGAGAACTGACTGTAAATGAAGTCAGTCATCACCAAGTATTGACTAAGTCCCTTGTATGTCCCCAAACTAAATCCCTTAGTAGTGAAGAGAAGCAGCAGCATGGCAGCCAGCCTGGAGAACCCTTCCAGTTCACATCTGAATTCCACAGCAGCCAGCTGGTGCAGCTGCTGAGAGCAGACTGGAAACAACTCACCAGCAACACTGTGAAGAGAGCAAGCTTCACTGGGTCAGCCACGGAGACCTCATGGCCGCCACTGAAGGGGGCATCCTGCCTCTTTCATTAACTCTTGGTCCTCACAACCTTAGAGAACCACTATTATTGCCCACATTTATGCTGGGAAAACTGAAGCACAGAGTCATGAAAGATCCTAGTCAAGACTATACAGCAGGTCTGGCCTGGAAAATGGCTCAGCAGGTAAACACCCTTGCCACAAAGCCTGGCAACCTGAGTTCGAGCCCCAGAACCTATATGGGGGAAGAACCAACTCCTCAAAGCTGTCCTCTGACCTCTGCATGTGCACGCCCCACAGCAGAGACAAGTGCAGAGAAAGATAGATAGATAGATAGATAGACAGACAGACAGACAGACGTGATTTAAGAAAGAAATTTGCTGTATGGAAGATGCACCTGCTACATCACATAAAAAGAGTGTGTAAACAAGTGAATACACACACATGTCAGGCATGTAATATCAAGAATGAAACAGTTTTAATGAATAAAATGAAGAATAAAAGAAAGAAACCAAAGATTGTGTCAACATTTCAAATGTGCGAGTCAAATGTGGGGAAGGATTGGTGAAGCGGGAAGGAGCAGTCAATCCAGATGAGAAGAGTCTGAGAGAATGGCAAATAAGACATGCTGACGGGTGATAGATGGAACACACAGAAAAGGACTCAAGGCAGTTTTGGAAGCCATCAGTGAAGACGTGAAAAGAGACAGCTTGATCAAGAACACATTCCCTTAGGGGAAATTCAGAGAGACCCAGGCCTGAGCCACCCACAGTAACTAAGAGCAGAGGGAAGCAGCCAGTGAAAACAGGAAGATGAGAGAGGCAGGGAGCGTCCCATCTGCTACACCCAGATAGGGCCCACTCTGCGGGAGCAGGGGCCAGTCACCCTCACTCTGCGATTCCGAGTTTTAACACAACAGAACCTAGGCAGTCCAGTGCACAGGCCCCCAAAGCTAAAGGAGACAGTTAAGGAAGATGTGATTGAGTTAACAGCCACTGCGGGCTCAAGAGGAAAGAGGAACTGACCCTGTAACAGCACCACAGGTGCTGTGAACTGCCACCTCAGTGCTCACAGCCGACTTCCCAGCTAAGCGTTCCTGGAAATAACTAGTCGAGCTAGGGGCAAGAGGTGGAGCGAAGTGTGGAAATGGGGATGATGGATGCCATTGTAACTGGAAGAGAAAGGAACACGGGAGCACAAGTTCTTCAACGGCCCCCTAGGCAACAACCGAGGAAACATTTCAGAGGGCCACAAAGTGCGCAGCGGCGGTCTCGCACTGGGATTGGGATCATGCCATCACACCCAGCCCTCTCCTACCATCTGTGGGAGGCCAACTCCCATTTCTGATACCTTACAAAAGAGAAGGGGCAGTAACTCTGTCTTCAGTGAGTGCCAGTGTTTCAGTGTTTAATGTACTGGCTCCTTTAAAACCTCACAAAGTGCAAATGGAAGCACAGAAAATTTAAATAATTTGCCCAACTCCCACCGCTTGAGAGTAATAAGGACAGGGTACAAATTCAAGCGTGAATTTTAAGCCTAAACTTCTTTTTTTCTTTTTTGGTTTCCAAGACAGGGTTTCTCTATGTAGCCTTGGCTGTCCTGGAACTCACTCTGTAGACCAGGCTGGCTTCAAACTCATAGAGATGGACCTGCCTCTGCCTCCTGAGTGCTGGGACTAAAGTTGTGCGGTGGAGTCTAAACTCCTAAACATTAGGCCAGGATGGCCAGTGTTTTCTAGATGAAATGGCTAACTTAAGGAGGAAGACTTGCGGGCTGGAGAGATGGCTCAGAGGTTAAAAGCACTGAATGCTCTTCCAGAGGTCCTGAGTTCAATTCCCAGCAACCACATGGTGGCTCACAACCATCTGTAATGAGATCTGGTGCCCTCTTCTGGACTGCTGTCGTACATGCTGTATACATAATAAATAAATAAATCTTTAAAAAAAAAAAAAAGGAGGAAGACTTGCAGAAGTTACCAGTGTTTGACCAAGTCCATAACACGAAAGCTGATTCCACCTCTGCCCATCTGTATTCATTCATCCCCAACAAAAACAATGAAGGGGAGACACAGGGCGGCTTCAGCATCTCCTTAAATGTTGAAAATTTTGAATTCCCAAATCAAAACCCACGTTAGTATGGAGCAGTTTAGACCCACACCAAATACACCCATTCAGCAAAAGCATGTAAAATGCTGTGCAAATTGAATTCATGTTCTCCCGAGTTATCAATGAGCATCAGGTGCAATGGGAAAGTCAGTCATATCATCTTCCACTAGCTGGTTGATACTGCTTTTAAAAGTGATTCCTAACAAGTAAATGACTGTTAATTACTCCTGCCTCCTAAGCTAATGCTCGGTTAGGACACTGGAGAAACCCCCAAAGGCAATGCGGGCAGCAGGCTTGTCTTTGTGGAGCAGTTTATGTCAACAATCCTGTTTGGGCTAACTAAGCAACTCCTTCCCGGAGCACCAGGGGGCCACTGACCATCTGAAAGAAAAAGGACATCTGCTTTATTAGAATTAGAGGATGAAACATCAAGTTTGAAAACGTTCATCTGAAAATTGGACTGTCGGCAAGTTCTCCTGGAATCCTCAACAGGCAATTTTAGAAATAATTGGGTTTTTTTTGCCAGAAAACGTGGTAATTCAAAAACGGAGAACTTGGGCAATTTGCTTTTGATTCTCATTTTACACCCCCCCCCCCCTCCCAAAAGGGTTCTATTAGGAGTTACTTATAGGCTAATCTGACTCATTCCTCAAAGCGTGCAAACTGAAAAGGTCTTTAGAGCTCCGTGAGCCGCTCGCTCCAACGTCGTGAGGTGGCTGACTAATGCAGAGCTTTTGAGGCCCTTTTGAGGGCCTCAAAAATGCCAACTATCAGGCCGAGGATGGGATGGAGGGTCTGTGGGAAGTGGGGGGCGGGCGGGCAGGAGACAAGTCATTAAGGACCTCTCTGATCAAACTTTTACTAACTAGGACTGCGCAATGAGGTCACAGTAAGTGGCTTTGAAAACGCATCCATCTCCCTGACACCTCAAAGTTTTCAGAACTTGAATGACTGCATATAAACCCAGGCAAAGGAGCAAAGGACTTGGGAGAAGGCCGGAGGAGAGCCGCGCGAGCTACCCCGAGGGGGTACGACTGGCTCGAGCCCCAGGTTCAGAGCCGTGCACCGCCGACCCGGGACCCCGAGAGGACGAGGCGACCGCGGCGCCCGATCCTCGGAGGCTCCACTCACCAGGAACTGGAGCATGATGTCGGTGGGGAGGGCGAGGAGGGTGTGAGCGCGGCTTCGGCTCCAGCGCTGCTCCGGGACTCCTCCCCAGCGCGAGGGCGGAACCCGCCGTCAGGTTCCGGTTTACTCCCGGGCCCGCCCTCTCCATGCCCGGAAGCGACTCGCGGTGCCGCAGCGCCCCCTCACGGCCATCGCGGGAAGCGGGAAGGGGCGAGGTGCAATCCTAGGCTTCTTTGAACCAAGGCCTCTGGAAAACTGAGGCCCAGAAATGTACCCTGTTCCAATAACGCTGGCAATTGTGATAACACAGTCAGACTTAGAGCTTCCTGGCCTACTCAGCCCGAATGAGGGTGAGGTGGCGGGTCCCATGCCAGGTGAGCAGTTGACTCTTTGCAAAGAGTCATGCTAATCGCCCCCACGGTGGACTCTCAGACTTTTTGAAAAGGGGCGAAAAGCTCGCAGATGTGCTATGCAGCCTAGCTAAGCGGTGTCCTCAGATCCATGATAGAGGATGGAGAGAGATCTTCGGAGCCTGGCACAGCTGGATCCAAGTCGTGATTGCTGGCAGCCACCAGCAACTGCCTGATCTATCTGAAGTTCACTAAAGGCCTGTGTGAGTAGAGCTTGCCTTAGCTACCACATAGGAACCAAAGATGAATGTGGGCGTGAGCACTGGGAGGCCCCGTCCCAGTCCATCCGCTCTTGCCCTGTTCGTACACAAGCACAAGGAAACCACCCTTTTCACTTTGCTCTCAGTCTGCAACTTCAACTTTATCTGCTTAAGTGAAACTCTGGTTTCAAATCATAGCTGGATCTAGTGGTGCATGCCTATCATCTTAGCACCGAGGAGTCAAAGGCGGAAGGCGTGAGGCAAGTTCAAAGTCAGCATGCTGGACATGGCATCTTCTTAGGCCAGTCAGAGCTAGATGACAAGACCGTGTCTCAGAAAAATAACCAGAAAAACAAATCATATTAGCTTAAACCAAATGGGAATGCATTGTACAGCTACAGAAAAAGGATCATAGATATTTCTAAGACTTTATCAATTTTATGATTGCTTTGCCTACGTATATGCATGTGCACAAATGTGTGCCCAGAGCCCTTGCAGGTCAGAAGAGAGCATTGGATGCCCTGGAACTGGAGTTATGGATGGCGGTTAGCCACCATATGGTTGCTGAAAACGGAACCTGGGTATTCTGGAAGCAAAGTGCTCTTAACCGCTCCCTGAACCATCTCTCCAGCCCTTTATCAGAATTTCCTCCATTTCTGCTTTTCTCCATCCAGCTGCTTCAATGCTTCTCACTTCCCTCCCCTCCCTCCCCCACTCCTCTGCCAAACTGATGAAAGATCTGATTAGAGAAAAAAAAATAGATAAAAATAGAGATCAGCACACCACCAAGGAAAAGACTGATAGATTTGACATACCAAAATATGTAAAAATTGAGAAAAATAACCTAGTGGACTTAAGTAAATATATGCAGAGAAAGTGAGGGGGGGCCTTGTGAATTTATTTACTTATTTATTTATTATTTTGCCTGCATGTATATCTGTGTGAAGGTGTCAGATCTTGGAGTTAAAGACAGTTGTTAGCTGCCATGTCAGTGCTGAGAACTGAACCTGGGTCCTCTGGAAGAGCAGTCAGTGCTCTTAACCACTGAGCCATCTCTCCAACCCCCTGTGTAGTCCAGGCTGGCCTCGAACTCGTGAACCTCCTGCCTCCACCTCCTTCAGCAAATCCTACCGGCGTGCACCACCACAATTAACCTGAATTTATTACAATTACTTCCTACCCACACACACACACAAAAGGTAACCCAGTATACTAGCTAGTTTTTTGTCCACTTAACACAAGCTAGAGTCATCAGGTGCCTCAATTGAAAAAATGCCTCCATGAGATCCAGCAATAATGCTAGGCAGTGGTGGCACACACCTTTAATCCCAGCACTTGGGAGGCAGATGCAGGCGGATCTCTGTGAGTTCAAGGCCAGCCTGGTCTACAGAGTGAGTTCCAGTACAGTCATTGAAACCCTGTCTCGGGGGGAAAAAAAAAAAAAAAAACAAAAAAAAACCTCCAGCTGTAAGGCATTTTCTTAATTAGTGTGGGAGGGCCCAGCCCATTGTGGGTGGTACCATTCCAGGGCTAGTGGTTCTGGGTTCTATAAGAAAGCAGGCTGAGCAAGCCATGAGGAGCATGTAGTAAGCAGCATTCTTCCATGGTCTCTGCATCAGTTCTTGCCTACATGTTCCTTTCCTGCTTGAGTCTCCACTGACTGCCTTTGATGATGAACAGTAGTATGGAAGTGTAAGCCATATAAACCTTTTCCTCACCATCTTCCCTTCTTGTCGTGGTGTTTCATCACGGCAATAGAAACCCTAACTAAGACAAGTTGGTACCAAGATAATGGGGTATTGCTGTGACAGACCTGAGGATGAGTTTTGAGGATCGTGGAAGGACTTGGGAAAGAAAAGCCATTGAGTCTGCGGTGCTTGGTGAGTGGTTCTGTAGGGTCTTGGAAGATAAGAACGTTGAGGGCAATGCAGACAATGAGGGCCTGGCTTGGGTAGTTTCAGAGGGAAATTTAATGATTCTGTCAGGGCTGTTTGTTATTTTGAATTAAGATGCTGTGGTTCTGCTCAGCGGAGACTGGAAATTAGCCATGATTAACAAGACAGCACCACTGAAGTGAAACCTTTGTTTTACTGAGACAATTGATGCTGTTTAGCTGGAGCTGAGAAATTAGCGGTGATTAAGAAGAGGCCGGCATCACTGAGGTGAAATCTTCTGGAAAGTGTTTCCTGAGGGTCACCACCAGAAGCTGTGGTCCAGAGGTGGCCATGGCTGGTAGCCAGACTTGGTAGTTAAGAGTCACCCAGGTGGTACTGGTTTGAAGACATGAAGGGGTCATGGAGAGCAGCTGTGGCTTGGCACTGTGAGAGGTCAGGAGAGGCCATTGGTGAAGGAGCAGCCTCAGTAGCAGCTGAAGCTCGGTGATTGAAGGGGTCACACAGAGAAGTTGAGGCTGGGCACCATGAAGAGAGCCCTGGAGAGGCTATTGGTGAAAGTGCAGCCCAGTTGCAGCACTGCGTTTTGGAGATGCCAGCATTTTGGAGATGCCAGTACCATGGGATGACCACTAAGAACAGCAACAGCCTTGGAGTGGAGCTTACCAGAGCTTAGGAGACAAATAGTGTGTACTGCAGATAGAGCCAGAGACGTGATCCAAGCACCTTGGGGGAGCCCAGAAGATCATAAGTGAATCCCAGATAATTGGACATTGAGTTATTTACACAGTTATGAGTTTGGTTTTACTTTGTTCATATTGTGACTGTGCCCTGGTTCTTCCCTCTTGAAGGAAGTATTTAACTTAATTTTGATTTTTACAGGAGCCCAGAGTTGAGAGACTTTGAACTTTTAAGAGATTTCAGATTCTTTTTTTTGGTTTTTCAAGACAGGGTTTCTCTGTGTAGCTTTGCGCCTTTCCTGGATCTCGCTCTGTAGACCAGGCTGGCCTCGAACTCACAAAGATCCGCCTGCCTCTGCCTCCCGAGTGCTGGTATTAAAGGCGTGTGCCACCACCGCCTGGCAAGATTTCAGATTCCTAAAGAGATTGGATATTTTAAGCTAAGTGTGGTGGCTCACACCTTCAATCCCACCACTCAGGAGACAGAGGCAGGTGGATCTCTGAGTTTGAGACCAGCCTGGTCTACAGAGCAAGATCCAGAACAGCCAGAGCTACACAGAGAGACATTGTCTTAAAAAACAAACAAAAAGGGAAAGAGAGGGGTGTTGTGGAATAATCCTTTTGTATACTGTAAAAATTTGTCACTCGAATTTGTTTAATGAAAAACTGACTGGCTGGTAGCCAGGCAGAAAGTAGAGGTAAAAAACCTAACTAAGGATGCTCGGATGAAGAACACACTGTTTCCTGTCCCAACCATCCAGTCCCAAATAACCACTCAGAGGCTTAATATTACTTATAAATGCTTAGCCAATAGCTCAGGCTTGTTACTAGATAACTCTTACATTTAAATTAACCCATACTTCTATATCTATGCTTGCTATATGGCTTGTGGCTTGTTACCTCATTTTCTACATGTCCTGCTTGCTCGGCAGCGGCAGCTAGCTGGCTAGCCATCTCCCTGACTCTGCCCTCCTTCTTCCATCGTTCTCAGTTTGGCTTTCCCACCTAACTTCCTGCCTGGCTACCAGACTATCACCTCTTTATTAACCAGTGAAAGTAATACATATTCATAGTGTACAGAAGGATTATTCCACAGCAGGAGTCAGAGGAGACACCAGCAGACACAGAGGAAGCAGGACATGTAGAAAATGAGGTAACAAGCCATGAGCCTTGTGGCAGAGGGTAGATAAGAAATATGGGTTAATTTAAAATGTAAGAGTTAGCTAGTAACAAACCTGAGCTATTGGCCAAACATTTATAATTAATATTAAGTCTCCCAGTTAAGCCAGGCGGTGTTGGTGCACAGCTTTAATCCCAGCACTTGGGAGGCAGAGGCAGGTGGATCTCTGTGAGTTCGAGGCCAGCCTAGTCTACAGAGTGAGATCCAGGACAGGCACCAAAACTACATAGAGAAACCTTGTCTCAAAAAACCAAAGGAAAAAAAAAAAGAAAAAAAAAGTCTCCTAGTTGGTCATTTGAGAACTGGCAGGCTGTTAGGACAGGAAAATTCCATCAACAGATGGGGAGGGAGAGAGTGACTATTTTAAAGAGACTAAACTTTTTAATGTATTTAAATTTGTAAGGACTATTGGACCTTAAAATTTATATATGTCATATTATGATATTAACATTTCATCCTGGGGATAAACAAAAAGCAAAGGTTCTAATTGAAAAGTGATGTGTTTGTGTGTCAAGTTGACAAGGGGTCAGTTGTACTGGCTAGTTTTATGTCAACTTGACACAAGCTAGAGTTATCAGAGAGGAGGGACCCTTAATTGAGAAAATGCCTTCATAAGATTCAGCTATAAGGCATTTTCTCATTTTGTAATCAATGGGGAAGGGCCCAGCCCATTGTGAGTGGTGCCAATCCCTGGGCTGGCAGTCCTGGGTTCTATAAGAAAGCAGGCTGAGCAAGCCATGAGAAGCAAGCCAGTAAGCAGCACT